TGTTCGATAAATAATAGGATATTTACATAAACTCACAAATACTAAGCAAATTACAAGAAAAGGAGCAATATCATACTATGGTTATATAAGATGTTACCACTGAGAAAGGTACATGAAAGGTGCAGGGATATCTTTGTACTACTTTGCATATCTTTGCAACTTCCTGTGAGTCTATACTTATTCCAAAATTAAAAAAAAACAAAAAGAGTAACTTCCTGTGGGTGAAACCTGGTCAACATCACCTTAAATAGGATGTGAAAATTAACGTCATCTGTAATGGGACAAATCAAAATCCTATGCCACCAGATAGGATGCACTAAGAAGAGGGCAGTGTCACTTCTCTGATTTTACTGCTGAAGATGTAGTCTGAATCTAATCATGAGAAAACATACAAAGACCCACATTGAGGGCCCAAATTGACTGACCTTCTACAAATTAAGAAGCCTATAATCTTCAAAAGGGCCAATGAAAATTAAAGACTGAGGATCGAAAGAAAAAAGTGACATAATTAAACACAACATGTGATTCTGAACTGGAAACTTTTGCCATAAAGGATATTAATGGGGGGCCTCCCTGGTGGCACAAGGGGTTAAGAAGCAACCTATGAAGCTGTCCGCAGCCTCTACAGCATGAGTTCGATCCCCTGGCCATTGAGGGAGCTGCCAACATGGCGCAGCAGACCGCTCCTGTCTCGCCCGCTCCTCCCCTCAGCAGTGTACTTCGGTTAATCTGCCTGTTCTGTTCCCCACTCTGTCTCTGGAGAATCCTCTCATCCCCCACACCTCTGGCCTGTACCCCAGCTCTTGTATGCATAAATAAATAAATCTTTAAAAAAAACTATTAATGGGGCTGAGAAATGGATGGTAGTGGTGTGTCCATGTTCATTTCCGATTTCAACGATTATATTATAGATACATAGGAGAATGCCCTCTTTGTAGAAAATATCAGCAAAAACTATTCCAGTATGAAAGTCCTCTGTACCATAGTTGGGATTTTTTCCTATTGGTTTGTGATTGATACAAAAACAATTGTTTTAAAAAAAATACCCAACACCTTGAACAGGCATGACATTCCAATCAATCAATATGTGTTGATTGAATTCATGAAAAATATAAATAACTACAACAAACATGCTTAGAAATAAACCAAATATTAACAGTGATTTGATGGCGGGATGTACTCACTTTGGGTAATTGGGGTTTTCTTAACTTATGATTTTTTTTTTAATTTCTTAAGTTTTCTGCCTCAAACAGGTTTATTGTTAATTTTGTCAGGATGCTAATTAGTTAAGAATAATATTTTAGGGCCTCCCCGGTGGCGCAGTGGTTGAGCACTGGGTTGCGAAGCTGCCGCAACCCCTGTGGCGCCGGTTCAATCCCCGGCTGCTCATTGGCCATAGGAGGAGGGTCCCACATGGCTCGCAGACCTCTCCTGCCGCCAGCTGCTCCCCTCAGCAGTGTACTCGGTCCTTCTGCCTGCTCTGCTCCCCGCACTGGCTCTGGTGAATTCTCTCACCCTCCCGCGCTTCTGACTGTACCCAGTGCTTGTATAAATAAATACATAAAATAAAAATAAATCTTTAAAAAATAATAATAATAATATTTTAGAGATTTTGATTATATTTCTCTTGTATTTATATTTTGGGTTGGTATCTCCTTGACAGGATTTGACATGGATACTCATTCCTTCACGACACATTTATAAGTCATCTCTTGAAATGGGCACCTTCTGCAGTTGGTTGCTGCATATATATATACAGCAACGTATGTTTATGGATGTGCTGATTTTTCTTCACTAACATTTAAGTTTTATATTTTAATAGGCAATATATTCACATAGTCAAAATTCAGCAAATACAATGAAGTAAATGGTAAAAAGCTCCATCCCATCCCTGTCTCCTAACCACCCAAGTCACCTCCCTAGAGGTAATCAATGTTATCAGTGTCCTATGTATTACTCCAGGGAAATAGACATACACACATATTTTTCACCCTCTATAAAACTTTCCGGGCTGGGGCCTCCCTAGTGGAGCAAGGGGTTAAGACATAACCTATGAAGCTTTCTGCAGCCACTGCAGCTTGAGTTTGAACACTGGCCGGGGAGCCACCCACATGGTGCAGCAGACCTCTCCTGTCTTACCCGCTGCTCCCATTCAGCAGTATATTTCAGTCAGCCTGCCTGTTGTGCTCCCTACTCTGGTGAAACCTCTCACCCCCATACCTCTGGCCTGTACCCCAGTTCTTGTATGCATAAACAAATAAATCTTTAAAAACCAAAAAAAAACTTTCCCTGCTGCTCTTTTTCAGAAAGAATCTATCTTGGAGGTAATTTATATTATTATATAAAGAGCCTAGTCATTTTTTTTAAGTGCATAGTATCATTGCCCTTAGAAATTATATGAAACTCTCACTGAGTATTGTTAACAAACTTATGAATTTTTTTCTATCTGGTGATGAAAACAATGTGTTAGAGGAGTTTTAAACTACATTTTCCTTATACTGAATGAGGTTGAGTATCATTTCACATTTATTTTCTTTTCTTTATAGTTGGTATAGCCACTGCTTATTTTCCTATTGAGTTTATTTGTTGGAGTACTTAATACATTAGAAAAACTTTTGTGTGATATGAGTTGCAGATGTTTTATACTAACTTGGATTAGTCTTTTAATTTTCATGAATTTGGGGCTTGAGAGTACAAACTCTGGAACTGGGTTCAAATCCTCTCTTTGTCATTCACCATCTACATGACTTTGAGCAAGTTACTTAACCTCTCTATGACTCAATTCATCCATAAAGTGGTGGAATTAACAGTAATTACCACACAGAGTAATTGTAATTAACAGAATAAATATTTAAACCAGGTTTAGAAAATATGTAGCACTAACAAGGACAATGAAAGTATTGGAGTTTTTTTTAACGTAGTCATGCCATTTCAAAGAAAAACTTGTATTTACTCTGGCTTCAAATTCTGCAAATGAAATGACTAAAAGAAATTACTTTTACTTTTGATAGTACTATGCACCGTCTAGCTACCAAGCCAAGCTCAAAACAGAGTCAATCTCTCAATTAAATAGAGCTGCAGACCAAGCAGTGAGGGGCTCTAGGGTGCCTTTACTCCTCATAACCATCTTATCACTATCCTCATAGGTAACTATGAGGAAACAGGGTTTCAGAGATGCCAAATGACTTACCCCAGGCCAAGTGTCCTTAATGTGTTGATTTGCAAAGACTGTTTAATCTTTCTTCTCCATTTGTCAGCTGCAGGTCAGTAGATATTCAATAGAGCCCGTGGGCTGGCTAGTTGCCTTTCATTCACTCAGCAAGCCCCAAGCCAACTCCTTCCAACTTCCTCCAGTGACCCCAGCTCTTAGGTTTAGAACCCATCAGACTCTTCCCACAGTTCATCAAATTCAGCAGATTCTCCCTCCTCTGAAATGTGTCTCCCACCTTGGCCCCCTTCCATCTCAGCTGCCATCATTTCTGGCTCAGCCCTGTAACTTTCACAGGGACTGTTGCTGCAATAAGCTCCTGCCAATCTGCCACCTGACCTCCACAATCTTCCTTCTCCGCTCCTCTCTGCAGTGCTGCCCACAGGACTGTTCCACAGCATGGCTCTAGCCCAGTCACTACAACTCTCAAACCTTCAGTACCTTTGCCTGCCTCTTTCCTTGACATTTGATCTGAGCTACCTTGTCAGTTTGGCTTCTGAGATTCCTCTCCCATGCAACCTTGAACAGGTTACCAGTCAGGTTGCTGAGCTTAGAATTTCTCTCTCTGCCCTCTCTTCCAGGCTCAAGCTTCATGAAGCTATCTTTAATTCTAACCTCTAAGGTCTCTTACGCCAATCACTGCCTCTCCCAATGCCACATCCTGCACATGTTTGTACACTCAAGACCGGAAATTCTACCTTCTTCAGTACTGACTGAAATGCTTTAACACATGAGTATGACACTACAACCCATTTTCTAAAGGGCCCAGCCACTTACAGGGGCCTGAGCTAAAGGGGCCTGCCAATAGCAATATCCAAGACTCATCCAGCCAAACCCAGCTCTCCTCACAAAACCGTCTGCTTCTGTCCAACTGCCCATCACAGGCTTCCATTTTGCTTTTAGAAGAAACTGGTGGCTATCAGTTGATACATGGAACAGGTACAGCTCACAGAAAACATTACGGAAATGTTGGTTGTATGAACAAACTTTGCTCTGGAGAGATAGAACATTACATCAATTTGTTTCAACAGAAGAAATAAAAAAAAGAGACCTGCCTTAGATCGGTCACACACCAAATAGGAAAAGAACTAGACTTAGCCGAGTTCTCCAGCTCCCAAGGCGGGGCACGCCCCTCTGCATCTAGGAGCCAAGCAAACCCAGCTCGGCAGTCTCAGCTACCTGAGGTCTCCACCACTTGTTAACCACCTGTTCTTTTTCCTCACCTTCATCTCAGAGCTTCCTTTGCCCTCCCCACAACACAATCTTTCCTCCTTCCTACGTCTCAGTTGTGAAGATAGTATCCGGAGCGAGGAGAGGACTAAGGATTAAACGGCTGCAGGCGGCGAGGTAACTGACTCCAGAGAGGGGTACCTAGGACACCGCCAAGGTGTTCCCGGGGTCTGGGAGCGGGCTCTGGCCCCGCCCCCAGCGCCGGTCCCGCCCCCTGAGCAGGTCCCGCCCCTAGCGCCGGCACCGCCCCCCAGCGCCGGCACCGCCCCCAGCGCCGGCACCGCCCCCAGTGAGGCCACGCCCCCAGTGAGGCACCGCCCCCAGCGCCGGCACCGCCCCCAGCGCGGCACCGCCCCCAGTGAGGCCACGCCCCCAGCGCGGCACCGCCCCCAGCGCCGGCACCTCCCCCAGCGCGGCCCCGCCCCCCAACGCCGGCCCCGCCCCCCAGCGCGTCCGGCCCTGACACGCCTGGCGACGCTAAACCTCCTCGCCAAGCCTGGGCGGGCTGAACTCCTAATCCCCGCCCACCTGGTAAAATCCACCCTATGACGTAGATAGTCGGAAGCCGCGTCCAATGACAAGGAAGAGGTGGCCGCTGCTGCCCTATCCGCTGCGACAACACCAGGACAGACGCCACTAACTGGCGGGCGCTCCTCCGGTCTTTCCGCGTCCTTCCACGTTTCGCCCGACTCCTGCCACTGCCCGGCCGGAGCGGGGGGACGGGAGGGGCCCTCTAATCTGGTGAGTCTGTGCAGGCCGGGGTGCCCTTGGGCACCGGTCCGGGGTCTGCTGCTGCTCCCCTCCCAGAGCTCGCGGTGGGGTAGGGGCGCAGGGGGAAGGCCGGAGGGGCGGGGAGGAGCCGAGCACGTGGAATGCCGGCTCGGCCGGGCCGGGGCGGGGATCCGGGCCGGGGCCGGCCCTGGCGAGCGCCGGGGTGCAGGATTAGTGGGGCGTGGAGGCGGGCTTGACCTGTGGAAGGTGGATCTGCACAGTAAACGTGGGGGTGGCGATCCCCGAGCCTCGCGGCTCAGTGTCCTCCCGAAGCAGTGAGAGCCATAGCACCTGCCAGTGGACAGCGGCGGCGGTTTCCCCGAAAGTGGAGGTTGTCCTAGACTTTTCCAGACAGGTTAGCAGAACAGCCGACGCACATTGAGCGCTTGCTGACTGTCAGGCACTGTGAGAAGTGCTTGGTAAGCGGTAGCTAAGTTTTCTGTACACCCAGCCGGTGAGGTAGTAGTACCATTTTTTTTAAGATCTATTTATTTATGCGCACAAGAACTGGGGTACAGGCCAGAGGTGCGGGGGTTGAGAGGATTCACCAGAGACAGAGTGGGGAACAACAGGAGGAATGACTCAAATACACTGCTGAGGGAAGCAGCGGGCAAGACAGGAAAGGTCTGCTGCACCACGTGGGTTGCTCCCTGGCCGGCCGGGGATCGAACTTGTGCTGCAGAGGCTGCGGACTGCCTCATAGTGTTGTGCTCAACCCCTTGCGCCACTACTGGGAGACCTCAGTAGTACCATTTAGACGCGCAAGAAGGCCTAACTGAGGTCGTCCCTTGCCCTGGGTAATTAGCAAATTTTAAGTGATGGAGCCGGGGTTTGAACCAAACTTTCCTGGGAAACCTCCACACCCAAGTCGTATGATAGGAAAACCACTTCTGACACTCTAGTGAAGCCTCAGTCGCCTCCCCAGTTGACCTCAGAAACCATGATCTCCTTCCTCTCCTTAATGGGGATGGAGTGGTTAACAGACATTGTCTTGTAATCAAGCAGCAAGAAGAAAATTGAGGCAGCAACTTCCTGAAGGAAACAAACAAAATTCCAAAGCCACCCAACTCTATTATTAAATAACAATGGAAGATGTAGTTGAGGTGGTGCCCTGTAGGTAACTCAGACCAGCAGGGTGTAATCCCTTTTCCTCCACACTGTCTTTCTGGATACCATATTTAGTCCTCTTAGCCTCGGTTTCCTTATTTGCAAAATAGAATTAAAAATACTAACTCTGAGTTGGTGAGCCCTTTTGTGTTCGACTTTACAAACATGACAGTAGCATTTTCCACTTCTCAATCCAGGTGTCTATAATCTTAATTCCCCGGTTGTTGGATATTTAGTATGTTTCACATGTTAAATATTATAGTATTACTGTAGTAAGTCTTTTTTGGCTTTGAAATATAATATACTCAAAACTTTTTTATGTGACTAATTCAGTGAGCTGTTTAGTGTAATCACCAGGTTATGCATCCATCACCAGTAATTCCGGAACATTTTTCATAACTCCGGAAAGAAACTCTGTGGCCCCAGTGCTGCCTTGGCACCTCCCAGAATTGTTTGCCTCCAGTTTTGGGGGGGAAAAGATGTCCTGAACAAACTCCACAAATAGGTTTTATGGACCCCTACCCCAGACCAAAGAGATCCAAGACACCAAGGACTACAAATCCCATAATGTCATCACCACTGAAGGAAGGATTGCTGGGAACTGAGGGTGGAGTTTAGCAGCCAGGTCTGGTATATAACTAGACATGTGGGCCTTGGGGGTCCTTGATTTTTCGCTGGCTTTCAGCACGCTATTGGGGTTCCAGCTCAGCAGAACTGGTAGGACACATTCACCAATTTATCTTTCTTTCTCCCTGAGTTATTCATTTCTTCATTTTCCTTTTTTGTAAATAAACCCTTTATTACCCATTTTGTGTGTGCCTGCAGTTGAGTCTTGTAATAAGTACCTTTTAAGTGTGCAGGTGAGGGCCCACAGTCAGGCCAGTCCATTTCACATTGGGGTTGCCCTGTAACACAACCACATGCAGGAGAGGATATGTGGCCCTGTGGCTCTGCTGCCCAATTTAGGGTTTAAGTGGGGGCAAGATGACTTCTTCCCCAGCCAGAATTACAGTCCTGACAGGAGGATGAACTGACACCCCCGCCCCGACCCCCCAGCTCCAGGGCCCATCGAGTGCAAGCTACCACCATCCTCTGGCCAGCATGCAGAAGCCGAGAAGGGAAGTTGCCAGCAACCTGCCAAGGCCCAGTGAGCTCCCATTCCACCCCAGAGCCTCCAGGTCCCCTGTAGGGAGGGGAAGGGATTTTTTTCAGCCCAGCCCCTCTGCAAAGGGTGTCTTGGGGGAAGGGAAAGGCCCCATTCTTATGCAGAAATTTGCCAAACTATGAGGCAAAGCAAATTCTAGATGAATGAGATCCAAAAGTGGGTGGGCCACTACAGCATCCCAGATTTAAAGTAGCACCTGAAAAACTATTCAGGAAGGCACTGATTTAAGGGTTATCGACAAGCTAAGGTTTTAGCCAACAGAGTTTAACCTTTAAAACCTCAAGGAAATTGTAAACATGAAATGGGGTCACCTCAAAGCAATTAATAGCAAGGACTAGAGAAGCTAAGGACAAGATGGCAAACCCCTCTAGATGATCAACATGTTACATCACAGGCAGAACCAGCTACAGAGAGCTACAGTGGGTCTGCCCACACCACTCTTATCTAGAGGAAATATTAGCAGTTTTGGAAAACAGAAGAAAGCCTATAAAGGCTGTATTTTCAGAATTTGTCACTATTGAAGTGCCTTTTCACAGCAAAACTTTAGCAGTATGCATTGCTACCTACCAAAATAGAAAAAAGATTGATAGGAATAAAATTTGAAAGTTTTCATAAGCTCTTGGTATTAGATATTGTAAGAGCAAATTCCAAGTTGCCTTTTCTGAGATCACTGTCAGCCCAGTGTGTATCCAGAACAGGAAAGGTGGCCACCTGCGGTGTAAGAAAGTGGAATAAGAAAGGATGGACAAGCAGTAGACAGATGATGAATTAGAGGTTACAAAATTGGTTTTCCTGAATTCACTTTGATTTTCCATTGTCATCTTAAAATGACTCAGAATCCAAAATTACTATTTAGTAAAACTTTACTGGCTTGCTATGTTAAACCTCAAAATGAAAAGCTTCCTCCTGCCTCCCCCTTTTTTTTTAAAAGAGATGGATTTCAAAGAATTACATATTAATGTGTTGTACCTAGTTTGGGGGTACACATTAGAAAACTAAAACCAAAAGATGGGGCCTCCCTAGTGGTGCAATGGGTTAAGCACAGCACTATAAGCTGTCTGCAGCATGAGATCCCAGGTCAGACAGGGAACTGCCCACATGGTACAGCAGACCTTTCCTATCTCACCCACCAGCTGCTCCCCTCAGCAATATATTTCAGTCGGTCTGCCTGTTCTGTTCCCCACTCTGTCTCTAGTGAATCCTCTCACCACCCCCCACCCCACACCCCTGGTCTGTATCCCAGTTCTTGTTTGCATAAATAAATAAATCTTTAAAAAATAAATAAAACCTAAAGATCTATCAAGTCCACTTAGCTTCTTTTAGCTTAGCTCCAAGAAAGGATCTTACTAATAATTCTGATTAAATACAAATTCTATTCAATGAAGCTTTAAATAAAAAGACTTGTTTAACTAACTGAAACATTGTTTCATCCTTTCATCTGTAAATTTACCTTTCACCAAGTAAAAAGGAAATATGACACCATTATATTGGCATTTTACAAATGCAAAAAGCGTAAATTTTACTTTAAATAAGTCACATTCAATCTGACTCTGGTTTTAAAACAAATAAAACTGTCACACTAAAGTATTTTATATGGTACTATGGTTATTGAAAAGCTAATGATTTGGTGGAATGTTGCCTAAGAAAACATAATTATATGGAAGGTCGTAAATCATTTAAATTCCTACAAAAATTTTGCCATACTACCACCTAGTTAATAAAAGGAAGTAACAGTCATTTTCATTTCTGAAAATATAGTTTAGTCAGAGCCTTTATCAAATTATTTGGGATAACTTGAAAAAATTATTACTCATAACAGAAAAATTGGCTTTCAAGCAGCTTAAGAAATAGGAAAAAACCTCTGCAGCAATAGTTACTCCCCATTTTCTACCTCTACTTCCAGTCCCTGGAACCCACTCCCCCTCCCCACCTTTATTGGTTTGTCTGTTCTGGAGATGTCATGTACTTTTGTTATAGGGCAGCCCCAATACTGAACGGGTTGCAATTAGCTATAGGACATCCTTTTCCCCCTAACACTTTGACTCAGAATATGTGACCTTTTATGTCTGTCATTCTTGTCTTAGTACATGTTTTCAAGGTTCATCCATGCAACATTCTGTTGTGTGAATGAGCCACATCATGTTTATCCATTCATTAGTTGATGGAAATTTGGGTTGTTACCATTTGGAGGCAATTATGAATAATGCTGCCAAGAACATTACTGTCCAGATTTTTATATGGCCATATGTTTTTGTTTCTGCTGGGTACATACCTAGGAGTGGAATTGCTGGGTCATGTGATAACTCCAGTTGAACCTTTTTTTTTTTTTTTTTTTAAGAATTATTTATGTATACAAGAGCTGGGGTACAGGCCAGAGATGCAGGAGGTGAGAGGATTCACCAGAGACAGAGTGGGGAACAGAACAGGCAGACTAACTGAAACACACTGCTGAAGGGAGCAGCGGGCAAGTCAGGAGAGGTCTGCTGTGCCATGTGGGTTGCTCCCTGGCTGGCCGGGGATCCAACTCTTGCTGCAGAGGCTGTGGATTGCTTCGTAGTGTGGTGCTTAACCCCTTGCGCCACCAGGGAGGCTCCTCCAGTTGAACCTTTTGAGGAACTGCCAAACTGTTTTCCAAAGTGGCTGCAGCATTTTCATTCCCACCAGCAATGTATGACTCCCACTTTCTCCACATCCTCACCAGTAGTTGTTATTATCCATCTTTTTTATATTACCATGCTAATAGGTATACAGTGGTATCTGATTGTGGTTTTGATTTGCTTGTACCTAATGACAAATGATGTTGAGTATCTTTTCAAATTCTAAGTGGCCATTTGTATATATTTTTGAAGAAATGTCTGGTTTTTGGCTTATTTTTAAATTGGGTTTTTATTAAATAATTTGTACAATCTAGACTACATACTTTGCAGACACGTGATTTTAAAATATTTCCTGCCAGGCTGTGGGTTATCATTTCACTTTTTAATAGTGCCCTTTGATGCACAGAAATTTTTAAGTTTGATGAAGTTCAGTATATCTACTTTTTCTTGTTTCAGGTCATGTCTAAGAAGCCATCTATGATCATGGTGATTTACATCATTGTTTTCTTCTAAGAATTAGCAATTCGAGATCTTGGATCCACTTGTGTTCATTTTTGTACATAAAATAGGTATCCAAATTTATTCTTGTACAGGTAAATACCCAATTCTCTCAGCAGTGGAAAAGACTGTTTTCACCCTACTCATTTGTCTTGGAATCATTGTCAAAAGTCAGCTGGGGGGTAGGGGGATGGGTGTGTGTGTGTGTGTGTGTGTGTGTGTGTGTGTGTGGTTTCTCTGCAATCAAGTTGTCTTCCCCTGAGTTATACCAAGGGTTTATTCTAGACTCTCAATTACTCTCAACTGATCTTCATTCTATCCTTGTGCCAGTACTGCAGTGTCTTGATAACAGTAGCTTTGTAGTAAGTTTTGAATTTGGGTAGTGTGAGTCCTCCAACTTGTTCCTTTTCAAAAGTATTTTTACTGTTCTGAGTCCTTGCATTTCCATGTGAATTTCAGGACTTGAAATTCATGGGGGGGGTGGGGGGGGTAGTGGGAAGGCTTTTGAAATTTTGGTAGGAGTTTTATCAAATCCATAGATCAGTGTGGAGGCAGTCTTAAGTCTCCCATTCCATATCATAGATGGGTGTCCATTTATTTAGGTCCTCTTTAACTTTATTCAATACTGTTTTATAGTTTCAGTGTACACATTATTATTTTATTAAATTTAGCCCTAAATATTTGGTTCTTTTTGATGCTACTTTTTTAGTTTTCAGAGTGTTCATTGTATATATAGGTTTACAACTTATTTTTTGTATCTTGAGCTTGTATCCTGCAGCCTGGCTGAACTCATTTATTAGCTCTAATAGCTTTTTTGTGGATTCATTGGGATTTTTTTATATTTAAGATCACATCATTTGCAAATAGAAACAGTTTTCCTTTTCTGTTTGAATGCCTTATATTTTTCTTGTCCAATTGTCCCTGACTAGAACTTTCAGTACAGTGTTAAGTAGAAGACATCCTTGTGTTCTTGATCTTGGGGGAAACATTTATAATCTTTCACCTTTATGATGTTAGCGCTGGGATTTTTGTAGATGACAAAAATCAAGGTGAGAGTTACAGTCCATTCCTTTTTTTTTTCCTTCTGAGTTTTTGGGTCATGACAGGATATTGGATTTTGTTGAATGTTTTTTCTGTATCTATTGAGACAAAAATGGTGGAGTTAGTTTACTTGGTTTAGTTTTTTCCCATTCTATTAATATGGTATATTACATTGATTGGTTTTAGTGTGTTGAACCAGCCTTATATGAATCCTAGTTGCTCATGGTATGTAATACTTTTTATATGTTTCTGAATTTGGTTCACTAGCATTTTGTTGTGGATTTATGTCTGTGTTCATACAGTATTTTAATTTATAGTTTTCTTGTGATGTCTGCCTTGTTTTGGTAACAGGGAAAACTTGCCATATATAGTGAGTTGTAGAGTTATAGTAAATATCTTGCATATAATTTTTACAATCTTTAGGCTATTTTCTTACGATCAATTCCCAGAAGAAGGCATATACATTTATAAGTTATTTGAAAAGTATTACCCATAAATCATGGGGGTTTGGGGCCTCCCTGGTGGTGCAAGGGGTTAAGCACCCCACTATGAAGCAATCCGCAGCCTCTGCAGTATGAGTTCGATCCCCGGCCGGCCAGGGAGCAACCCATATGGCACAGCAGACCTCTCCTGTCTTGCCCGCTGCTCCCCTCAGCAGTGTATTTCATTCAGTCTACCTGTTCTGTTCCCCACTCCATCTTTGGTGGATCCTCTTACCCCCCCACACCTCTGGCCTGTACCCCAGCTCTTGTATGCATAAATAAATAAATCTTTTTTTAAAAAAAATCATGGGGTTTTTGTGGCTTGAGATTAATATTGAGCCTTTTCAGAATAATGTTCTTTTAGAAATTTTTCTTCGTTAGTCTTTCCAGTACGTAAAAAGAGTTTCTGAAAGGAAAGCCAAGCTCATTCTCCACAACATTGTATTTCATGTGTGTGCTGTACAGGGCAGCTCCTAAGGACCTGGGATTCAGCACTTCACCCAGCTGTTGTTACTGAGAACTTCCTTTGTGCAACAGCATTTCTCAATCGCATCACTATTTGGAGCCAGTGGTTTGGTGTGGGGGCTGTCCTCTGCATTGTAGGAGGTTTAGCAGCATCCCCGGCTTCTCCCCACTAGATACCAGTAGCAGCATTCCATCTTCCCACCTCTTAATTGTGGCAGACAAAAATATCTCCAGACATTGCCAAATGTCCCATTGGGAAAAATTGTTCAGTAGGTCACTGATCTAACTGATATACAGTGGGTTTCATATTAGTGTCAGATAAAATTGTCTCTGATTTTACATTTGAATCTTCACTGTATATTTGGCTTTGGAACTACATATGTGTCACCATGTTCTGATGATTTTCAAATTTTTATCTTTAGCCTTGGTTCCCCTCTGAATTCCCAATCCTTTTTTACAATTGGCTTGCCAGGGTATTATATAAGCAGCTTGATATTGGCTTGTTCGAAATCAGACTTCCTGCCTTCTCTTCCCAAAATGCTCTTCCTCTTTTATTCTTGGCCACCCAGTTCATGAGGTTACCAGTTATTCACTTAACACTTCTGAGCTCCTCTTTCACCACCTCTTCCATGAAATTTTTACCTCCTTAATCTTTCTTAGGCTCCTCCACTCCAAATGTTCACTTCTATAGTTGGTAGGTTCATCTCACCTGGGTTGCTGCAGCAGTTCTTGACTTTCAGCTTATTCCCTCCTTGGCCACCCTTCCAGTGCCCTTTCTAAAATACAAATCCAAGCATGTCATCCAAGCACCCAGAGCTCTCATGGTCTAGCCCTTCCTTCCTCTCCAGTCTCATCTCCCAGTCCCTTGTACTTTAAGATCTGGCTATAGCAAACTGCTTACAAGTCCCTTGCCTGGCACATTCATTCTTCAGTCTGCAGTTGAAACTCTACCCTCTGGACCTTCTGTGCACAGTGATTATTCCCATTTCTCCCTCTGTATCTGAATCTTCAACCCCATGATGTGCTGCAGGAATTGATTCATGCATCTGTCTCCCCTACTAAATAGCAAGTGCCTTGAGAACAGGGAATAAAGCTTATTCATCTCTGACTGCTTTGCAGTACCTAACATGGAGTGGGCACTCCAAGTGTGTGTTGAAGAGCAAATGAAAATTTCCAGAGCAGAAGGAAGCTACCTGGTATTTTGAAATAGTTGTGAGTTTTTATTTTGTTTTGTTTGTTTTCTTAAATTTAGCCAAACATTTACAGAGAGCCAGCTAGATCATGGGTGCTAGGAATAGGATAAAGAGCAAGGCAAGATGATTGCCTTAGAGAATTCACATCTTGTGTAGTACAGGATGATCAAGTACAAACAAATACTGTTTTGATAGAGTGACAGGTGCAAGTATAATCCATTTATGGATATTGCATGCACTGTGTTTGCATTTGGGGGGGAGACACATGCCATACCTATCGCTAGAATAGGGGTATTAACAGGATGAAAAGCTGCTATTTTCATCCTGCTCTTAACCTGTCTGGGTTTAATGTGACTTTTAAAGGACTGACATACCCTTGGTAATTAATTCCAGTTAATGTTCTCAGTCTCCTGAATTCCCCTGCAGTGCCTGAATGTGCTTTGTGAGGTAGTGGTTTAGAAATTGTCCCCTGGCCATAGTCAGCATGCACCAGTTGTTTCATCATCTACTGTGTCTTTCTCATCGTGTGCCCCTCTCTTGATGATAATGCAATGAGCAGGACGTGGTCCTGCCTCCTGATGGGTGATCTCAAGTCCCTAACTGGATTCATGCATTATTTCACAATTAAAGCAAACTGGGATATGTTCAGATTGTGCATTCTAAAGAGATTTTTGTCTTTTTACGAATTGGTGATAATAACCTTTATGTCAATATGGCTTATTTATAATACCAGTTTTCTTAACACTGGTCATCCTTTTTTCCCTTCCTATGCGTGGTGCCTTTTAGCTTGTGACTTAGCTAGTTAATAAATAAATCTTTATTTTTTTACTAGAACATAAGATAATTTACCCATAGGGAACCCATGCATGTGGTGTTCAGGAACCATTAAAATGGTTGCTTAGGAAGATGAATGAAATTATGCTTTTGGATGAAGGAGACACTGAGAAGCACACTGTTTACAGAGAAGGGGAATACAGATAGGTAAAACAGCAGGTTAGGACCAGGGAGAGATCATGAATGCACTTTCGAACCTCGAGTTGGCTGGACCTATGGAAATAGACACAAGGCAGCAGTATGCTTAGGAGGCTTCTAGGCTTGGAGATGAACCTGTGTTGTAGGTGAGATGGCATTGAGTATGAAACAGAAGGTCTAGGACAGCACAGTAGAAAACACACATTGTGGGTGACCCAAGAGAAACTAGATTTTGACAAGAGAACCAAGAGAAAGTTGGTCCAGAGGATGGTCCAAAGGAAGAGTGAAGCTTCATGGTGTCCCGTATTGCAGGAATAAGGGCTAAAAAGTGACCACTAACTTTGGCATGTAGGTGATCATTGGTTAATATCTTAGCAAGAGCATTTTAGCAGAAATGTGCAGAGAAAGGAGGCCTCCGTGCACTGCAGTGGTTGAGGAATGGTTGGGAGACAAGTGGGATGTATGCTTATAGCCTGTGCTCTTGGACTATTTCTACTAGAAATGGAACACATACACATGAAAAACTTAAGCATCTTTATAAGCTGAGATAAGGAAAGGGGGGGCAGAATTGATTAAATCGATAGGGCAATTGATTTCTATAGAATCTGAGAAGGGATGAGACCCACTGCCAGTTGAGGGACTTGCCTAGAAAGATGCAGGAACACCCATTTCTCCAAGACATGGGAGAAGACAGTAAGAAATGGTAAAGCTAGACATTTTGTGGAATGGATAGGACAGAAGTTAGGGTATTCATGTCTGGTAACATCTGTCTTCTCTCTGAGGTAGGAAGCTGTGACTGGAAGAAGTGGAAAGGGATAGTAGGAGAATGATAACCTGGGTCGTTGGGGATGAATCAAAGAATAAAGTTAGGTCCATTTATAATGTCCCAGAAGAGGATGAAAGTGAGACATTTTGATGACTCTGAGTCAGCTATATAACTGGTTCAGTAGAGCTTACTCATTCTGTCACAGAACTAGCATATCTGGTTGAACTACACCTGTGTTGTGGAATGTAGAATGGTCCAGTGGGGAAAGCAGACTGATTCTGGAGCAAGCACTGTCATTGCAAAGTTTGCGAAATGTTTGGTTTAGTACTGTACTCACTGAATTCCTTTCCCTTTATGTTGAGTTAGCCTCAAATCACAGTCATAGGTTGACATAGAAGTCATCGTATAATACTGGGTTCTGGAACGTAGGCCCAGACTTCTAGTGCTCTCTTTGGCATCTCTAACAGTCATTGCTTGCTGGTAAAAGTTAGGAAATAAAGGCAATTGATTGCTAATCTATTCGCTGGTTGCATTCAGCTCTAGAAATTTTTTTCCTAATTTTGTGATTTTGAATGTGGTTTAAAATACATGCAGGGCCTCCCCTGGTGGTGCAGCGGTTGAACGCTGGGCTGCGAGGCTGCCCGCAGCGTCTGCAGCGCCAGTTCGTTCCCCAGCCGCCGGTGAGGGTCCCACAAAAAATAAATTAATTAATTTAATTAAATACATGCAGTAAGATGTCATCAGTGTCTCCAATGAGTGGGGAGAAAGTCTGCAAGTGGTAGGCAAAGGGGAGACCCTTATGCCAATTCAAAACTCCTATCAGGTCCACGTCTTCCTCAGTCTTTATAAGAACTAATGTGATTCCCACCTTTAAAACTTGTCATGTTTTGGGCCTCCCCGGTGGCGCAGTGGTTGAGCGCTGGGTTGCGAAGCTGCCCGCAGCCTCTGCAGCGCCAGTTCAATCCCCAGCTGCTCCCCGGTCACCTGAGGAGGGTCCCGCATGGCGGCAGACCTCTCCTGCCGCCCGCTGCTCCCCTCAGCTGTGTACTTCGGTCCTTCTGCCTGCTCAGCTCCGCTCCGGCTCTGGTGAATTCTCTCACCCTCCCGCGCTTCTGACTGTACCCAGTGCTTGTATAAATAAATAAATAAATCTTTAAAAAAATGAAAAAAAAATAAATAAAATAAAACTTGTCATGTTTTTATGATAAAGTGATAAATTTAGGCTATACAAGATAAGACTTTGGAAAAGACCACTCAAAATAGTTATGGCAATATCCGTGTCATTAAATGTGTTTATCTCATTCTTTATTTCAAAAAACGCACGTACTTGTCCATCCCTGTAATAGCTAGTGTATTCAGCAAACTAAAACATTCTTTATAAAGCACACTGAGAAGTCATACACACAGGCCCTGGTAAATTTTGTTCACAATTTTTCAATACTGAAACAGTATAGGAGAAAATGTTGAATGTCAGCTATTCTCTGTGAATAAGGACCTTATGTGAACTGAAAGAAAAATTAGTATATGCTCTGGTGTTATTGAGTGGAGAAAGAAAGAAGAATAACCTAAGAGTTCTCAGCCAGGCTCACACTGTCATTTTAAGGTAATTGTGAGAGTCCTGCGTCCTACAGAGGCCCAGTCAGTGGAGGCTAGAGGCTAGGAGGAGGCTACAGGTGTGCTGGATTTTACCTGGAGGCAGCCTTTTATAGGCGAGCTTGGTGTGGCGGCTATGATGATAACCCAGGGTGGACCATCCTCTGAATATGAAGAAACAGAAGCAAGCACAGATATGTTTGTATATGATTTTTTTTTTCCTCTTTTAGGAATAGAAATGCCTAAAAGCAACTGGCACAGTAGAAGACGTGGGAGAAGGAGCTACCCGCAGAACTCTTGGTTCAGACAACAGAGTTCTAATGAGAGGCAAGTGCTGTGCCCAGTGCCACGTGAGCCTTATCCAGCACCCTTACCCCATCAATCCCTGGGGCTCTTATCAGAATGTGGGCTGAGGTATGGCTCCCAAGCCCCTAGGGCTGTTGCTGCTGCAGGCTGACCTGCCTGCCTGCCCACCCCTACACTTCAAGCAGTGAGGAGATGCACCCACATTTCTTTTTTGGAGTGACTGCCTTCTGGCGAGAACATTGGCCGTAGACTTAGAAGTAGACATTATCTGACATGGCTGGAGAGCTGTTTCTTCATTTGTATGTGTTTCTTTCATTTTTCCAATGAAAATAGCTTTTTAGAAGTTTAATTTCATTAATTCACCCTAAGAAAGGATATATATTTTATTGCCTTTATAAACACAAAGATATAAAGACTAAAGCATTGAACACCATGTACCCACCACTGAGCTTAAAAAATAAAACAAAGTCTATACTTAGTTGAAGTCCCAATGTAAGCATTTTCAACCCTCTGTTTATTTTTCTGTGTGAAGGCAATGCAGTCTAGTCTCAGAACAAGAAACACTGCACCCACACCAGGAAAGGACACCTCTTCACAGTTCATCCCAGTTCACAGTGACATCAACAGCTCACCCTTCATCAAAGGGGAGACCCTTATGCCAGTTCAAAACTCCTCCTATCAGGCTTCCTTTTTAAATGGGCAGATTTCTAGAGATAGGTTCAGAAGATGGAGCACAGCTGCTAAGATGCTTCTCTAGTACAGACTAACCCAACAGTAACAAAATGCATCAAAATGTGGAAAAGATGAGAGCTTTGGAATTAGGAAACCTGGCGTCAGCACTCGGCTTTTCCTGTGGGAAGCTGGGCAAGCCCTTAATCTTTCTGAGTCTCTTTTTGTATAAAACAATACTGATTTCTTCCCTCGTGAGGTTCACAATAGTGTATATAAAGCCACCAATGGCTCCTATGTACATCGTAGTCCTCATTAGGGAGAGAAGAAAATCTACTCATCTAAGCCAAAGTCCCAAAGCTTGACCTATATTGTAGAAAGGTCCGGACAGTGCCCAAGGTTTATATGTTTTTTAAGGAGACCCACCTTGTAGTGGCAGGACACAGTGCAGGTTTTCTGATCCCATGCAGACCGGGTAAAGGAGAGTCAGAGTCCTCAGTGGTTTTTGCAGGCTTTTATTGGGATTTACCCCCTGCAAGTCCTCACTCTGTCTGGGCTCTCTGGCCTTCTCTCTGCTTCTCTGCTCTTCTGTTCGTTCTGCTGCTTCTCGGCTTCTCTTTCAGCTTCTACTGGCGTCCCCGTGACGCCGCCCTTAAAAGTACAGTCTTAGATCAGCTGAATCCCATCTACCTATACCCACACCCTATTCCAGGTGCCCACCATCAGGCATGCATTCAGGACCACAAGGATCCATCATCTATCCTGATGGCAGGAGGGCAGAAAAGCCTGACATTTTCTTTACCCTACACACCTGCACCCCAGGCCTTCCCACAAGAGCACAATATGTAGCAAATATGATCTGTGCAAGAAGAGAGTCAGCCTTGGCAGTCTCCTGGAAACATGCTGGACAACCACCTTCTGGGCTCTGTGGAAAGATCGGAGCAGCAGCTCTTGGACTAGCGCATAGACATTTGTCGTGACACATAATCCTCCTGCTGCTGAGCACAGATGAGCTGCCTTGGGAAGCTCTAGGCCTTAAAAAAGGGAGAACAAACAATTTTCTCTGAAGCCATGCATAGTTAGTATTTATAGATGAAAGAGAATGTTCTTTCATTCCTTCAACCTATTTCTACAATGTGTATTCCTTTTGGTGGGAGGAGGGTGGAGAATTTTATCAGAATTCTAAAATTAAGTTGTATACTTTATCATTATATCCTTCAGTCTATAATTGCTACAGAAGCTGCTTATGGCTTTGCACGCCAAGTGTTTAAAGCATGGTTCTATACCAGTGTTACTGAGCAAATCACATCTGTTCCCTGAACCCTAATTTCTCCATCTGTAATGTTAGGCAGCCAAGTAAATTCAAACTCTTTGTATAGTTGAATCCAAAAAAGAATGAAATTTACCTGGCCTTATACCTGCTGTTGAGTTGACAAGCAAGCCCAACTAGTATCATACTTATTAGCAAAGATTTCTATTTTCCTTTTCATTGTAAAATTCCAAAATGCTCGAGTGAGGAAAGAAGAAAAGGAAATGACTGACTGTAGCGGCAGGAGGACACGGAGCAGGATCTCTATGATCCGAGCAGACGGGGTAAGGAGAAGTCCTGGAGCCCTTGGTGGCTTTTCAGGCTTTTATTGGGATTTACCAGGTACACAGCAGGCAGGGGTGCCAGGGAGCCGGGAGGCTGGCAGGCCTCCCAGCCCCTAGCAAGTCTTCACTCTTTTTAGGCTCTCCGGCATTCTCTAGTGGTCTCTGCTTCTCTCACTCTGTCGTTCTCTTCTGCTCTCTGCTCTCTTGGTACCCCCGTGACGCCGCCCTTATAAGCCCAGTCTTAACCCAGGTGAATCCCATCTACATATGCCCACACCCTATTCTAGGTGCCCGCCATGAGGCATGCATTCAGGACCACAAGGATCCATCATCAATCCTAATGGTGGGAGGGCAGCAAAGCCTGACTGACATGCATTTGCTTTAAAAAAGAGGCACCAATCATGCCATTTGCAGCAACATGGATGGAGCTGGAAGGGATCATGCTCAGCGAAATAAGTCAGAAAGAAAAAGAAAAATACTGGATGGTCTCACTCATAGCAGGAATTTAGAAAACCTAAATAAGGGACCAGGAGAAAGACTAATTATAATAAAGTAAAAATCAAAATCAACAAGCAATTATAAGCCAGAGACACACTACGGGGCGGGGTGTCAGGAGGTGGAGGGATTATGGTCAAAATAAGGGGGGTGGGAATTGTATGGGGACTATAACCAAGATGAAAAAGCATACATTGTGCAAAAATTAAAAATGATGTAAAAAATATATAAAATTTAAAAAAAAGAGGCACCAAAACCTTGTCCTACCTTTAGTGTATTTGCAACAGATCAATTGCTTTCAAAAAAAATGATAGGTCAGTGCTCCCTGAATTATCAGCCCAGGGTTGAGGGCTGCAGGACTCCACAGTCAGAGAATAAGTGGGACTCAGGCCTTCTCTGCAGCTTACATGACTGTGTGTCAGCAGGCGTGATGCAGGGTCACAGCAGAGCGCCCAGGACTCCGCTGTCCCTGGCGGCGATGAGGCCCCATCCACCTCATCCAGCGCAGCTGGGAGTTCCTCTGTGCCAGGTAAGGCAACCTGCATGTAGGACTCCTGGCCCTGTGGGTGGGGAAAGATGAGGCCTCCTCCTGCCTTGTCTGTTCTGACTGCCTTTCTTCCTCTGCCCTGTGTCTTCACTTGGGTAACTGCATGTGTCACTAGCCCTTCCCTGCCTTGGAGGAGATTTTGGCAGCAAAGTAAAACTAAAGGGAGGATCTGGGTGTGTCGAGAACTGTGATCCTGAGGCCAGCAGCTCCCTCCGGACTGCCTTGGCCCCGGGATGGTGACTGACAATGCCAGCCCACCTCCTGCCCTCTGAAAAGACAGGTGGCGTGAGGGCTGGTAGACCACCCACAGAAATCCATTACTCGGGGGCCCGGTCACAGTGTTGTGAGTTGAGGTGGATTTTCCTTCCTTGGACTGCAGACCTACCAGGGTATTACTTTGACTCTGAAAAGAATCGCTACTTCCGCTTGCTTCCGGGACATAACAACTGCAACCCCCTGACGAGGGAGAGCATCCGGCACAAAGAAATGGAGAGCAAGCGGCTGCAGTTGCTAGAGGAAGAGGACAGACAGAGAAAGGTGGGCACCACACCCCCCTGCTCGCTCTGCTCTTGCCCACATCCCCAATAGATACCTGTAACTCAACACAGTGCACTGTCAGGGTGCTCCCCACAGGACCTGATGAAGAGAATAAGGAGAGGCAAGAAATGACTTCCTCCCTCTTGTTTATTAAGTTCCATCACTAATTCTAACAATTTGTCCTGTCCCCAGGGCTCTTGGGAAGCAGCATGACACAATTTCAGTAACTGTATGTTTTAAATAGAAAGCCAGGTGTGTGGTTTGGACATGAGGGTTTCTGGTATCCCTTCTGGGCATTAGTTGCCAGGATATTTCTGTGGTTTATGGGGTCAACAGAATGGAATATCCTGGCCCAGCATTGCCTTAGGCCGAGTGGAAAGCAGATGCAGACCTGTGTGTTCTGTGCTCGCCAGCCTGGGGGTTTATCTCTCCAGGGTGTAAGCTAATGGGGGGCTTGAAGAGAGGTGTTGACCAGCTTTCCAGTATACATACTTTCTGTGGTGAACTTTTCCTCTTGCTGAGGAGATTTAGCAAAGGAAACCATCACATTTTTATGCATATAATTTGTGCCAGCTTAGTACCTGTTAAGTCATTGCATCCTGTGAAATACTAAGAACATTCTCCATTATCTCATAGCAAAAACCCTCACTGAGTCTTTTCTTTATTTTTTTATTTTTTCAATTTAGAAAATAGCCAGGATGGGATTTAATGCATCTTCCTTGCTACAAAAAAGCAAGCTGGGTTTTCTCAATGTTACCAGTTATTCCCGGTAAGACAATGCCTCATTGTTACATTTTCTTTCTGATTGTTCTTTTCCTATTTTTTATTTCCATGGTCTGATGTTAGGCCATGAAATTACTCAGGAGTCTTCACAGTGGAGGGGTTCCAGCTCACAGCCCACCTTTGCTGCTGCAGCCAACCCTGACAGATCCTTCTCCCTGTAGAGCAAGGGGACAGGCTCCTGCAGGAGGCCAGAGAGAAGGAAGGGGACCTAGGAAGATAGATTGGTAGAAATTTCTCATATTTCCTTTATGTTACTTTTAAATGATTTTAAAAATAGAAAGTCCTGAAATTTCATTCCCGTGAGCTTTTTACTTCTTCTTCCCCTTCTGAGTTGTCACCAAAAATGGAGCGATAGGGGGATGTATGTTGGTAAACCTGAAGTAACTGTGATCTGTAATAATCTTACTAAAACCCTGTGAGATAGGTTGATCCTTCTCCCAGTTTCCAGAAGCAACTGAGGCTCAGAGTGGAGGAAGGTAAAGTTAGAAAAGGTGGTGTCTTACTCCAAGGCCAAGGTTCTACCCCCACCTCCTGCCGTGTGGGGGAAGGTGAAGAAACACCTGAGTCTGGGTGGCTGGCAGGGGACACAGCTCCCATCGCAGAGCAGGGCTGCTTTCAGGGAAGGCCAGCACTGTGGCAGGGTTCAGCCAGGGCAGGTGGGACATGCCTCTCCTTTATTTCCTTCCGTCTGGGAGGGAAAGAGTTAAAAGTTTAGACCCATTCTTCACCCCAAGACATGCTTTGTCTTTAGTGGATAGTAGCCGGATGTGAAGAGGAAAAGGGGCAGTAGGATGGACGGCCACATACCTGGGCTCTTATTAGCCGGGCGCCCTTCGGCTTGCGGATTCCTCTTTCAGGCTTAGTCTCTTATGTCTTCCCAAAAGAGAAGTTTGTACTAGATGACCTCAAAGCAGATGCCTCCAGTTCTAACTTATTTTTCCTCTGAATGCACCACTCATTTCTTTGTCTTAGTTTTCCTAAGAGTTCTAACATTGAGATTATCTGGGATATTGTTTAACCCCTGTTGCTAAGAAATATGGAGAGGGCTGATTGGGGCAGTGGTTTTCAGTGGGTGGGACAGGGTAGAATTCCTGAATCTTCATGAATAACCTAGTTATGGCATCCATGCCCTCCCTGCCCCTTCTGTCTCTCTGCAGTTTAGCCCATGAACTGCGAGTGAGCTGCATGCAGAGGCACAAGGTCCTGATTCAGAGCTCGGATCCCTCTGCCTTGGCAAGCGAGCGATTTAACCTCATACTGGTGAGTGGGAGAGAGCTGTGGCCATGGGTGCCGGGGGTATGGCGGTCATCCCCTGATGCTCAGGAGGTTAGCATTGACTTTCATCAAGCCTGGTTGTGTACAAGTGAGTTGCCATGCACTGTGAGGTAGCATCCTCTGGTTAGTACAAGCATTCATAGGCTACCTGTTAGCCGGTGCTAAGCCGGCAGGCATGCATGGTATGCTGTAACTGTTGTCATCTTCCACTGTTGCTCTGTCATTTGACATTAGCACCTGGGCCCGCTACACCTTGATTGAGAACCATCACAAAGTAACTTTCCCTTGGGCATTGTACAAAATTGAAAAGATACCAGTGGACGGGGGGACTTCCAATCCTTCCCATACTGGGCAGGATTTGGTAACCAGACCTGAAGCTCCAGTGTCCTTCCATATCAATAGCTTCCACTCCCCTTGCTTGCTGTCCCTGACTTTAGTGTTCCTTCCTGCATGCCTGTGTTCCTGGGCTTGCACACCCAGCACGCTTCCATCTCACCACTTGCAGGGAGTGGCATATCTTCTCTGCTGTTGGGTAGAGAAAGATCTAGCTGGAAACCAGGGCCAGATACTTGAGTCCAGGCACTAGAGAAGGGTCCAGAGGTTTCAATGCAGGCAGGAGGAACCAGACCACTCAGCTAGACTGGAAACTTGAAACCACAGGAGAGCACGATGGCCTGCCCAGCAAGCTCTGTCCTTTCCGAGGCCAAGAGAAAGTTAAGGAGAGTGAGAAGAACTCAGAACTGAGAATCTCACCTCGGTGACATGCTGAATAGACTGGAGGCTGAAGCTACAGCCGACCTTTCAGTCTTGCCCCAGGAGGCCTGGACAGTTTCCGTCCCTATATGAGGCTAGAACTCATGTTTTCTCCTGTGGCTTTACCCCTCTCTGTGATTGGAGCATAATTTGACCTGAATTAATGAGTGGGCTTTCCTCAGGAATATCCTTCCTCGGGTCAGGTGAGGTCACTGATAAACATGCTACTTAGTATAGCCTGAGCCTGCTCCCCACGCCCCAGGTCCTCACACTTCATCTCAACTTGTTAAAGCTGTGTGCTAGCCCTTGGCAAATCTTCCCCATCACACAAAGTTGCCATAACCTATTAGCTGCTGTGACCAGAGGACTGGAAATGGCTCTTTGCCAGCCAACGACCAATTTTTCAGATCTGATTCTAGTCACTGGTAATGATTCTTCAGGAATGTAACTAGTCTTCCAAAATAAACCTGAAAACTGAGTTTCACCAGCATCCAAACCCTTGTATATGTGTGTTCATGTATTTATAATATATATAAGGTTTTTGCTTTGAAAGAATTATTAACCACCTCTTTTAATGAAAAAAATCTTAAAAATAACCCACATCTGAATGCAATCTTTTCTATTACAATTTCTCTTCAGTGCACTGTCTTTTCTTTTTTTAACTTGGTGGTATTCATAGTGCCACCTCCTCCTCTGTATCTTCCTTTTACCCTCTGACAGTTAATAACTAGCATTTTCCACATCACCACATGGCTTTCACAGTGGCAACATTGCCCTATTGCCCTGTGACTCATCTGAACAGTTCCTCAGGATAGCATTGGAACTCTTCAAGACCCAGTTCTGAGTAGACCTTCCTGGTCATGCCCCGTCACTGCTCTGTGAAATCAGATTCCTGTTAGCTTTGCCCGGTGATGCCTATGCTAAGGAAGGGACAGCTAGGTCATCTCCTGCTTGCTTGTGGATGGGAGCATTTACCAGATAAGAAGGTACAGAATATGGGGCCCAGAGAGATGGACAGATGGTCTAGGCAGTGTTCCTGGCTCAACCTGGAAGTCACCTGTGGTCCACTTTCCCCTCCAGGCGGATACCAACAGCAGCCGGCTTTTCACAGTGAATGATGTCAAAGTTGGAGGCTCCAAGTATGGCATCATCAGCCTGCATGGTCTGAAGACCCCCTCACTCAAGGTGCAAGTGCATGAGAACCTCTACTTCACCAACCGCAAGGTACATCACCTTTGCCTTAGATGGCCAAATTCAGCATATAGGAGAGAATTTTGTGAAGATCATAGGGCTTCCTTACCTTGTTTTACCTTGGGAACATGAAGATTTAGATCCCGAGAAGAAAAGGGCCATAGGGTTTCCTTGTCTTGGAAGATAAATGAATTCAGTTCGGGGAAGGCCTTTCCCTCCAGGAAGAGGGAGTTGACCTGAAGGCTCCCCTGCCTGGGCAGAGTTCCTAGAAGGCAGGTGCGATAGACTGTGTGAAGGGTCCTCCCAATGCACCAGGATGCTGCATCAATCACTCTGTGACCACTGCTGACATTTAACATCAGTAGGCTCACTGTTTAGGGACCAACCTTTCTGTTATAGTGAAATGGTAGTTTCATCTGTAAGACCCTGTGCCTTTCTCTTCAGTTGGGACATGAGCCACCAGACAGGTTGAGGATGGTTTCTGGGTGAAGTGAGATACAGGATGTCTTCAGAGTTGGGTTTGTCCTCTGCCATTGCAGAGAATTCACCCCTTCCCCAAGGGTATACCAGGTATCCACTGTGAGGCCCATGCTGATGGCGAGGGACCCAGTCCTGGGGGGTCCTTCCTCCCTGTCCCTCTCAAAGTTTTATATGATGAGACAAGGAGCTTCCCTGTGCTCAGAATGCTTGTTACAGCTCTCTGCAAGGAGCAAAATCTGAAGAAAGTCACAAGTCTAAATTGTCCAGGTTATTTTACAAGAAAGCACTTGTCTGTTTCTCTCCTTGAATTGGCAGTCATACCACTCTTTTCTTCTTGCTGTGTGCTTTCTCACCAGGTGAACTCAGTATGCTGGGCTTCGCTGAACCACTTGGACTCCCATATTCTGTATCTTTTGGCAGATGAAGAGGTTTGGTGGGGAGGCTATGCCCAGATGTAGACCTGAGCTTCTGTGGGGTGAGATGACATCTTAGTGGTCAGAGGCCTGGGCCAATCATTGTTCATGCTCACCTCGCCCCTTAAGAAAGAGCAGTGCACCTGGGTAGAAAACCATGGTTCCCACAGAGCACAGAAGTAGTTGTGGCCTTGTGATGACACTCCTGTCACTGTGTACATACACATCACCATGTGCCAGACACTGTCCTGGAACTTGAGTCAGTGCTTTAGGAGTGGAATACAGCAGGAAGGAGGTGTCAGGAGCTACATTGTTCCCAGGGCATGATGGGCCTCTCAGGCGGCACCAGAGAAGGGGGTTCTTTTGGCATTGAACACACATCTGTCATCTAGGCCCTGGACCTAAGCTCCCCGCCAGAGACAGCCTTTTTTAGAACCCACTTCATTCTGGCCTGCCTTCCCAGTGCCGTCGGGGCTTTTACACTAGGACAGTAGGGTAGTGTCAGGGTAGCTGGGCCTTTCTGTTGAATCCCTGAGGGCTCTTAATGCACAGGACAACTGTCCATCGCCTGTTTCAGGGAGTAATATTGTTTGACCCAAAATCAAGACCTCATGTCAATGAGTCTTGGCCTTGGCTTATTTTCAAAATAAATAAGCTTTTGAAACTTTGTACCCACTGGTCCCTAATCCCTGCTTCCTGAGCCTTCACTAGGTCATTAACATTTTTGAAGGTGCCTGGCACCTCCTGGGTCCCCAACAGATAATGGCAGCCCAGTCAGAACCTATGGAGTTCAGGTGGTGGTTGTTGTTATTGTTATTCAATTTGTTCTACACCCTCTGTTTCAGAGGATTTTAAAACTTAAAGTACATTAGAGATCCGATTATAAATTTTGTTAAAACACAGAAAACTATATTCAGTAAATTGAAATTTTCACATGACTTCCTTTCAGTGGGGTTCTGTGCGGTGATGGGACCCCTGTTACTGTGAGGATCACGTCAAAGGAGAAAAGTCTTTAAAAAGAAAATAAGAACCTCACCCTCATTTCTGATCTAAAATTAATACGGCTTTTCTCATGTTTCTCTCAGTGGGGTAAAGCAAGGATAAAAATCCATAGAACTGGGTTCAAAGAGTGGTGTGCTGAGTTGGGGGAGCAGCTGCCCTCTGGTGGCCATTTCAGTTAATCTTCAGGCTTTCGTGCACCAGCCCCCTCTGTTGAAGGTCACTAAACTTTTCTCCCCTTACAAAAATGACATCTTGTTCAGAACTGCGGTCTGCATTTTTTCCCCCAAAACAGGGGAGGAGACTAGGTTGAATGCTTTCTGAGCTCTAGTTGACCTGTGGCATAGGATTACTGTCCCCATGAGCTCCATACAAAGTTTCAGCCATAGCCACTGAAAGTGCGCCTGGGTAAGGATTCTTCTCACATCCTTGCCCTCCAAACCCAGAAGCAAATGAGGCTTACTGAGGAAGGCGTTGAGCTGCCCAGCTGCAGGGTTCTCATTTATAATTTCAGCAGCCTCTATACTAGAAATATTCAACATGGAGCTTACCACCGAAGGCAACAGGACATTCATACATATCACACATTCAGATTGATGGTCGAGAATGTTGCTGGATTGCTTTGTAAATATGTGTAATTGTATCTGCATCTTTCAAGGAGGGATGTTTATGTGTGTTTATTCCACATCTATTAAGCATTTACAATCCCCATTCAAGGTGCTGGAGATGGACAGCTCAGCAGGTGATTGGTCTAATCAGTGATATCTGTAAGGCATTAGGATACAAGGGAGAAAGAGAAATTGAGGCAGCCTTTCTGGAGGCAATTCCCAAGTGGGAGTGAGGGCTTGGAGCTGCCATGGGCAGAGCTGAGAGGCTCGCATGTCTAGCAGCAGCGTGGTTTGGCCACCTCAATGTCTCTGGCCAGGCAGCGTCTTGCAGAGTGGGCCCTCGGGCCTATGGGGTACACTTTGAGGATTGTGGTCATGGATTCATTTCTTAGATAGCAGCATAGGTGATAGACTGGCCAGGGTGAGACCTAGATGGAAGGCTGCTGCAAGGCTAAGAGGCAGTGGAGAGTGTGTGAACTCATGAGCAGGACTGGACAAGAGCACAGATCTCAGATGCTTGGGATCTAGGTGGCTGCTTCTTGGAGTCAGAAGAAGGCCCAGAGATTGAACTAAAAGAGAATGGTGTTGTGGAAGCTACGAAAAAGCAGTTAAAAATTGTGCTACGTGGCCATGGAACAGAACTGGAAAGTTTTCATCAGATTTAGAAAGTACAGGCTCACTGGAGACCTTGGGGAGAACATTTCCTGGGAAAGACGAAGGTGAGACCTGGGTAAAAAAGTGAAAGAAAGGCAAGGGTATGGGGATAAACAGACATGTCTAGAAAGTTTGGAGAAAAGGAGAGGAAACCAATCAATCAGAAGACAAGTAGAAAAGTAGAAAAGTAGGCCAATGCCTCCCCTGTGGCGCAGCGGTTGAGCACTGGGTTGCGAAGCTGCCCACAGCCTCTGCAGCGCCAGTTCAATCCCCTGTCGCTGGGCGAGGGTCCCACATGGCGCACAGACCTCTCCTGCCGCCCGCTGCTCCCCTCAGCAGTGTACTTCGGTCCTTCTGCTCCCTGCTCAGGCTCTGGTGAATTCTCTCACCCTCCCGCGCTTCTGACTGTACCCAGTGCTTGTATAAATAAATAAATAAATCTTTAAAAAGAAAAGTAGGCCAATGTATAAAGACATAAAGACTGTCATCAGATAAATGAACACATCCAGTTACACTCAAGGAAATGCAGATTAAAATCATAATGAGTTGTCATTTCATATCCATACAGATAAAGTAAATTTTAAAGTCTGATAATGTCAAGCACTGGAGAATGTGGAAAAGAGTCGATGTAAGTAGACTGGAGTAATAGCCACGTCATGGAGTTGAAGATGCACCTCCCTGGCCTGCGACTCTGCTGTAGTGGAGATGCTAGAGCAAGTCATCACCTCTCAGACCATTGAATTTAATTTACCGAACAGTGTATTTTTAATAAAAGAGAGTAGAGAATATCAGGGCTTTATATTTAGTGAGAGTAAATACTTTATATTTTATGGAACTTCTGTCTCAGATATTTATGCTCATATAGCATGGTGTAGTATGAAATTAAATTCTTACCATGGGTTTAATAAACAATGCCTTAGAGAAACCTCCCACTCTGGATTGGGAAACTGGGTGACAGGAGGAGATGCTGCTTCCAGCAGCAGAGCAGAAAAAAACCGAAAGCAGCCTAAGTGTCCCTCATTAGGTGACTGGATAAATAAGTTGTATTGTCATGCAAAGGAATGCTCCTTGGTGAAGATGAATGAGCTGGAGCCACAAACATCAATAAAGATAACTCTAGGAGAGAGTAGAGGTTGTAAAGTTGCAGAAGATACTCTGTGTGATGCCATTTACCAATGTTTTCAAAACATGAGCAGCTCTTTATATGCTCATGGATAAATACCATCTAGTGTAGATACTATGGCCCAGAACTCAGACCAATTTTAGAAGAGTGTTTTCTTTCTCGGTGGGGAGAAGAGAGTTGGATTGGGAAGAGATCAAGGGAGGCTTTTAGACATATATGTGATGGGTTTTTTCCCCCCTTTTAAACAAGTCTCAAACTGTGGAATATGTTAAATGTGTTAAATCTAGATCAGGGTGTTAATTCTAAGAATTTTTAAAGGGTACTAATGCCCATTCTCCTCCCAGAGAAGAGCCTTGTACTTGACTTTCCTTAACAACTTTTCCAGACTCTGCCTTATGGGAATTGCAGAGACTCCGGGCTGTGCCACCCTGCTCCCAGCTTCGCTGTTCGTCAGCAGTCACCCAGGTACAGGCTACTATTCTTCTGGATAAGGAGGTGCACTTTGAAGGCAGTCTCTGTCCTCTGCCTCCCAGATGTTACAGCCAACACAGCTTAAGCTCAGTGACAAAGGCTTGGAAGGGAGGGGTGCAAAACACAGGCTGGGTGAACCCCAGTTAGAATCTGCAGGGTATATAGAGAGAAAGACCTGCAGAGGACTCCTTAAACCTGGCCAGAATTTAGCCTCGACACTTGAGCATTTTTACCTAGCCCCTCCATTTTACCGCTCTTGGGTTATTCCAACAGAAGTATGTGTAACTGACATAGATCAGAATACTTGGACTACCTATACACATCCTTCAGAAAACGGCTCCTAAGCTCCTGCCATATGACAGGGTACTTGCCTTCTGACTGGAGGCATTTGCACCTCTCCTTCCTGGCAATATTATGGATATTCAGTTTTCAGTCTTTCAGATAATTAGCATCAGGTAGACAAGTGTCAGGCCTCTAAAAATGCAGACACAGGCAGACCTGGTGTGAATCCCAGCACTGACCTTCGCATCTTAAACAGATTGCTAAACCTCTGTAAAGTGAAGGTAATACCCGCTTTACCGGATTAGAGGATTAGAGGGAATGCACTCTTAGCCTGGTGTCTGTATTTCATTTGCTCCAAGCTTATGAGACAGGTGTATGTATTAACACCATTTTCAAATGAGGAAACTGAGGCAAGGGGTTTCAAAATCTACCTTAGAAAACTAATTTATGGTGTTAGAAGTCAGGATAGTGTTTCCGTTCAAGGGAACAGTTAGAATTTTTGGAAAGGGATAAGCAGGATCGTGGAGTACTAAATTTCTTAACCTGAGTGGTAGTTACATGGCTATATTTGCTCCAATAACTTATTAAACAGTATACTTACAATTTGAATCCTTTATGTTTCATCAGTAGAGTTGATTTTAGTTTTTTTATTTTTTTTTAAGATTTATTTATTCATGCATACAAGAACTGGGGTACAGGCCAGATGCTCGGGAGGGTGAGAGGATTCACCATACAGAGCGGGGAACAGAACAGGCAGACTGACCGAAGTACACTGCTGAGGGGAGCAGCAGTTGAGATAGGATAGGTCTGCCGTGCCATGCGGGATTCTACTGGCTGGCCGCATGAACCCGCACTGCAGAGGCTGCAGACACCTTCACAGCACTGCACTCAACCACCTGCGCTACCAGGGGAGGCCCTAGAATTGATTTTAAAAGATGCTTTACTTGAGATCACACACCTAAGAGTATGATCTGGGATTGAAACCCTACTACCTGTGATACCATATTGCTTCCCTAATAACTATTAGGGTTTTTAACACTACTGCTGGGAAGTCAGGATAGAGTTCATACATTTACTCTCAAAATAATCTTTCTGGGGAAACATGCACCCCTGTGTCCATTGCAGCACCATTACAACAGCCAAACCATAGAAAAATCCAAGTGCCCAAATATATGGTAGTAGTTCAGGAAGAAGATGTATATATATATATATATACAGGATGGAATACTACTCAGCTATCAAAAAAAGACAAACTCTTGCCATTTGCAAATGAAATTAAGCTAACAACAAACCCTAGAAATGTGATTATAGAACTGAGACAACTAGAGGGGAAGGGGTGAGAACAAAGTGGGCCAGGAACAGTGGACTATAGGGATGAACTGTGGGAAGCTGGCTCATGGGTGCTGTGGTACCAACACCTGAAGGGGGAGCTCCTATACCTCTTAAACAAATAACGATGTAAACCATTATTAACTCCAAAAAAAAAAAAAAGAGAGAACCACATCTGAATCAGGTACTTCTCTTTTCTGCTACTACAAAAACCAGAGTATAGACTCCTCTGAGCAGCTAATTCTAGAGATTTCAAAAATCTATTAGTCACTGTCTGGCAGCATGAAGGGAAGAACTCCCCCCTTGGGGGCAGCCACTCTTTACATTTACTGTTCCTTCAGCAGGAGACCGGCCCGGCATGCTCTGCAGTTTTCGAATCCCAGGAGCCTGGTCCTGTGCGTGGTCCCTGAACATCCAGGCAAATAACTGTTTCAGTACAGGTGAGCCATGGCTGCCTCCCGAGGCCCCTACCCCCAAGTCTAGCAGTCCCTAGACTGTCAGTGACACTGGTCTCTCCACCCGATCTCTGTCAGGCTTGTCTCGGCGGGTCCTGGTGACCAACGTGGTGACAGGACAGCGGCAGTCATTTGGCACGAGCAGTGATGTCTTGACGCAACAGTTTGCCCTCATGGTTGGTTGGATTGGGAAGGGCGCAATAAAGTTTCCAAGAGTAGAAATTTTGCCAGATTAAAATTGGATTCCTTTGTATGGCATCTAGTCTTCCTGCCCCTTTTACAGAGAATCAAAGCAGGCATCAGAAAGGATTCATGGGCTACCTTGTGAATATTTCTGAAGTGAATGCATCATTAGCTAATCTAGAAAGGCTTGACTTAATCTGGCTTTACTAAGTTGTTAGCAATTCTTGAATATTTGGTTTAGTGAGCAGGATCCAGGTTTTCTAATCTTTAAATTAAGTCCTAATTCATAGTATTTAGTAGTTTCACTTACAGCTTTAACATCGCCCATTATATAAATTTAAAAATCAAAATTTTAGTCACTACTACATTTCAGACTTGCCCCATAGAAAATACCACCTTTCTTTAAAAGTGTGCAGGAGTCTGCTGGCCTGCTTTCAGAAGTAAGCAGAGTTTATTACTCCAGTTTCTTCACTCTATTTGGGACCCCTGTCTAACCTGGATCTCTGCTCTCTCTTCCTCTCTCCTCAGCCCAGCTTCTCAGCCGCCTTCCTTGTAGAGAAGGACACTGTCCCTTGGGCTTTAGAGTGAGGGGAAGGGAACAGTGTTGCTGGACACACAGGGTCTACTTTCACCCTTTCTCAGGGACTCATCTTCCTCCCAACTGCACTGAGGCTCAAGCCCTGATCAGCCGTCTCCACTCAACACCTCTTGTGGGCGAGGATAGTGGAGATGAAACAGCAGTAGTATTTCTGGAGGGCACTCCCTTCTCAGCCTTACAGGGAGGCACTGAGCAGGCCCTCTTTCCACAGACTCCGTTGCTGTTTAACGGCTGTCGTTCCGGGGAGATTTTTGCCATTGATCTGCGTTCTCGAAATCATGGCAAGGGCTGGAAGGCCACCCGCCTGTTCCATGACTCAGCAGTGACCTCTGTGCAGATCCTCCAAGAAGAGCAATGCCTGATGGCGTCTGACATGGCTGGAGCGGTAGGAGTACCACTGACCTCTGCAAGCCACCAGAGCTGGTGGCCAGAGTCTTCCAGGTGGAGGGGGGCTGTTGAAAAGGAGACCCTCGGACCAGGAAGCAGGCAGCAGGATGGTCGCCGGAGACCAGAGAGTTGTAGACTGTGCAGGGCAGCAACTTGGCTGCCACTGGGAGCCTAATCTGGCCTGGACAGACTCAAAACTGGTTCTGTGGTTTTGATGGGCTTCTAGGGCTCAGAAATATGAGATTTAGATTGCCTTCATCTGAAAAGATCTTTGGAAACCCTCTCGAGCCCTTCCCTGACTTCTGCACGTAGGGGTCACCAGAGCACCTGCTGAGCCCTCCTTAATGGCCCCTTGTGCTTCCTCCCACAGATCAAGCTTTGGGACCTGAGGACCACTAAGTGTATAAGGCAGTATGAAGGTCACGTGAATGAGTATGCCTACCTACCCCTGCACGTGCACGAGGAGGAAGGAATTGTGGTGGCAGGTACTTGGGGGGAGACTCCATCCATCAAGCACTATACTGTAGGGCCTCCGACAATATAAACAGCAGGAGAAGTTCCTCCAAAACAAAACTGGATAAAAGGGAATGTAGACTTTGGGGGACAGGGAGAGTAGATGGGACATACAGTTAGATATTAGTAACCAACAGTTTAAACATCCACCAATTGGACAGCCCTTTGTTCCCAGGTTAGTGAGCAAACATTGCTTCAGATACAATTAAGTACAGCTGCTTGGGGGACTTGAGTTCCAGTCTATTTACCAGGTCAGCATTCAGTGTAACCCTTACCCCATCATGCAGCTGTCCTCTCTAAAAACTTGAGCTCCCTGTTCTTTGTGCTCACATTTCCATCAGAGGATGCTGAGAAATTAAATAATTCAATGTGTGTGCATGACAGTGAGTAATGTGTACTTTTTGAAAATCTAGCTATAGGTCATCCTGGCTCCCTAGAACCCATAACTGGCTGCAGGTATTCAGAATGTCAAGATGCACAAGGTACAAATTCATTGTAAAGGAACTGATTCCTCATCCTTGCAGTGCCTTCCAGTAGACCACGACCCATGGAACAGGAGCAGAGCTCTTGAACACTGTATCCCCTTGAAAGGAGTTACAAGTTGATCACAGATTATGTTTCTGAGCTACAGAATATTTATTTATTTATTTATTTATTTATTTATTTATTTTAAAGATTTATTTTTTTTTTTTTTATTTATACAAGCACTAGGTACAGTCAGAAGTGTGGGAGGGTGAGAGAATTCACCAGAGCCAGAGCGGGGAGCAGAGCAGGTAGAAGGACCGAAGTACACTGCTGAGGGGAGCAGCGGGTGACAGGAGAGGTCTGCGCGCCATATGGGACCCTCTTCCGGTGGCCGGGGAGCAGCCGGGGAGCAGCTGGGGAGCAGCCGGGGAGCAGCCGGGGAGCAGCCGGGGAGCGAACCGGCGCTGCAGAGGCTGCGGGCCGCTTCGCAACCCAGCGCTCAACCGCTGCGCCACCGGGGAGGCCCTGAGCTACAGAATATTTAATAGCATGAAAGATCGGTGGTTTGATGTGCAACAGTAGGCCCCTGACATAAGGAAGGTGTTCTCAGACCTCAGGTTTGCTAATGTTCCCACAGAAAGCACTTACTCCGCGGGAAACTGTCTCAGATGCATATAGTTAGAGCTTTTTAAGGCTTGTTTATTGCTCTCACCATCACCTGCTATTAACTTCTTTAAGTCTGTTTCCCACACATTTTCATCTCAGAAGAGCCTCTGTGTTCTGGATAATAGAAAAGAGGTAAGCCTTGATGAGGCAAATGAGAGTAGTGGGCTGGCTGCAGTAATCGGTGGGTCACACAGCCTGAATTCATCCGTGGCTGACCATTCCTGTGGTCCTAGAATTATTTCAGCATCACAAATGTGAAATCCATGAATGCCTAAGGTCTGCCTGCCCCTTTCCCGTGAAGACCTCTGAACCCTGAAGGCTAATGGTCTTATGAACTGAATCATAAGGAGAAAGAACTCCAGGAACAGTTGCCACCTGGTTTGCCCCCGATGTTAAGAATCACAGAGATCAGCCGGGCTACTATTTCATAAATAGAAAGGTCTAGATCAAGTGGACCTGGCTCCCTCTTGAATAGCCCTCGACACCAAGTTGAACCACCCTAGGTGTCTCACAGCCAGCCAGTGCACCCTGTCACTTTGAATACCTGCAACTAATTATGGGTTCTAGAGCACCAGGATGGCCCATAACTTTGATTTTCAAAAAGTGTGTGTTATCAATAGGAATAATTTCCATTTGTGAACTTGTATTTGCTCACCTGGAGTCAGGGTTAGCTGGTAGGCAACAAGACACATGCCCACGTGTATACATGTTGCCCTCCGAATTCTCTTGCTGACCTGCACGTGTCTCTCCTCTCTTAGTGGGCCAGGACTGCTACACAAGAATCTGGAGCCTCCATGATGCCCACCTGCTCAGAACCATACCCTCCCCACACCCCACCTCCAAGTCTGACATCCCCAGCGTGGCCTTCTCCTCTCGGCTAGGGGGCTTCCAGGGAGCGCCAGGGCTGCTCATGGCCGTTCAGCAGGACCTTTATTGCTTCTCTTACAGCTAACTTGCAGGTGCAGCCTGGAGTGTGGGTTTGACTTAAGGGAGTATGGAGTAGCTGTACCCCTGCCGCAGTGCTGTTTCCAGTGAGGGCATTTTAAATGGGTGCTCCCTCTGCGCAGCTCCTGTTCATCTGGCTGCTGGGGAGAAGGTGCTGTGTTTTATGTGGAGCCACTTTTGTAAAGTTATTTCAGTTAAGTTGTGGGCTCAGAGAGCTTAAAAGTCCTTTTCATAAAAGGTATCTGTATCTATTTCCATTTTTTATTCAATTCCTTAGCATAGCTCTCCACCCACCCACCCACCCACACACACTTTTTTAACAAAAAATTAATCTAAGGGCTGAAAATTGGCAGTAACTAAGGTTTTTTTCTTTTCACCAAAAGCCCTTTCAAGAAATAATGAGACTGGCTGAGACTTCCAGAGTAGTCAGTGCCTGGATTCCAGAAAGACATGGCGTCTGTTCTTGAGAAAGCCACCTGGGGAGAGAGGAGGGAAGTCATTTCCCTGAGTCTCTAGAGAAGGATTTAAGGCTGGAGTTGGGAATCATTAAACCAGCCTTCTTGTGTAATTTCACTCGATAATAACAGATCTCTGTTATTTTATTATTCATATGCAATGGAAGGAGAGATGAACCTTTAGATAGAAAGGGTTTTTAACAGGCCTTGACATGCCAGGATGTTAGGTACAGCAGTTCCTGTTTCTATCATCATGATTTGACTGTCAGATTCAAGGACCCCAATCTCAAAGAAAATTGGCTTTGACTTTTTGTAATCTAAAAGAAGCAGTTTGTGGGCCTCCCCGGTGGCGCAGCGGTTGAGTGCTGGGTTGTGAAGCTGCCCGCAGCCTCTGCAGTGTCGGTTCGATCCCCGGCTGCTCCCCGGCCACCAGAGGCGGGTCCCACATGGCGCGCAGACCTCTCCTGCCGCCCGCTGCTCCCCTCAGCAGTGTACTTTGGTCCTTCTGCCTGCTCTGCTCCCCGCTCTGGCTCTGGTGAATTCTCTCACCCTCCCGCGCTTCTGACTGTACCCAGTGCTTGTATAAATAAATAAATAAATCTTTAAAAAAAAAAAAAAAAATAAAAGAAGCAGTTTGAAAGATGTTTATACAAAGTACTAAAGATTCTTATCTTTCTACCAAAAAATAAACTAGAACGAACTATGGTGTGGAGTGTTGCTTCAGTTAATAATTTCGAAGGTCATGTGGCTTAGGCTGCTGTAGCAACAGTGAGGTCTACTCAGATCTTGGGTGAAGCTAAAAAAGGGAAGAGACTGAGACCAGCTCTAACGGCTCTGTGGAGCACTTCTGTTTGCCCTCCCTCCGGGTCCACTCTGCCCTTCCCCACCGATCAGTGGATTGAGTGAGTGGGCTCCCTGGACCCAGCAGGAAAGCAGAAGGTAGGTGGACTATGAGATGAGATTGTTAATTCCCTAGGTCCCCTCCTGCTGGACAGAGGGGGATTCTGGCTGTGTTCTTCCACCCAAGACCAACTTATACTGCAGCATGGCTCCTGCTGGATTCCAGTAACTTCTCTCCATTTGTCACCTCAAACCTGTGTCTAGAATTTGCACCTCATTGTTGTTGCTAGCTGAGCATGTGTCACCATTTAGGCTAAATTCTTCAATTTCCCCTCAAGTGTTACATGTTTCCTGCGAAGACCCTAATACAACATAAAATACTGCAAGTCAAATCCAAAAGAAAAGGGTGGGGGAGGGGGAATTTGGAAAACATAAGATAGGTCATCTGATAGATTTACATTGTACAAAAACAATAAAGAGGGCCTCCCCGGTGGCGCAGCGGTTGAGCGCTGGGTTGTGAAGCTGCCCGCGGCCTCTGCGGCGCCAGTTCGATCCCCGGCTGCTCCCCAGCCACTGGAGGAGGGTCCCACATGGCGCGCAGACCTCTCCTGCCACCCGCTGCTCCCCTCAGCAGTGTACTTCGGTCCTTCTGCCTGTTCTGCTCCCTGCTCTGGCTCTGGTGAATTCTCTCACCCTCCCGCGCTTCTGACTGTACCCAGTGCATGTATAAACAAAAACAAACAAACAAAAAAAAAAACAATAAAGAACTTTTCCCCATTTTATATGAATTGATCAAAAAAAGAAGGTAGGGGCCTCCCCGGTGGCGCAGCGGTTGAGCGCTCGGTTGCGAAGCTGCCCGCGGCCTCTGCGGCGCCGGTTCAATCCCCGGCTGCTCCCCGGCCACCAGAGGAGGGTCCCACATGGCGCGCAGACCTCTCCTGCCGCCCGCTGCTCCCCTCAGCAGTGTACTTCGGTCCTTCTGCCTGCTCTGCTCCCCGCTCTGGCTCTGGTGAATTCTCTCACCCTCCCGCGCTTCTGACTGTACCCAGTGCATGTATAAACAAAACAAACAAACAAATAAATAAATAAAAACATGCCTCTATAAAAAAAAAAAAATTTAAAAAAAAAAAGAAGGTAGGACAGTATAGTAATATCAATAAGATAAAAATGGTTAGTATTTTTTACAGGTAGAGATGCCCAGGCACAGACATTAAGTGACTTGCCTTGGATCACAGATCTGTTATATAAAGAGCTGGGACTTAGAACCAGAAGACTTGAGATCTGATCACATTTTTTACTTTCTGCTTCTCCAGTCATTGACAATACTGGGTATGTGTCGCAGCTAGTGCTGTGGGGAAACCAGGAAGTGACTCGGTGTAAACATAGCCACATGATCCTGGAATTGCACAGTATTTAGTCACCATGTTAGTGGGTTTTTCTGACACTCACCAGTGGGTAAGAGGCTTGCAAATTACCAAAATGCTTATATGTTTAGATTTTGTCCCTGTTGCCAGAATGCAACCCTAGCTTCCTGACCTGTATGTAAGCCCCAGGAAATGAGCTATACAAGTGAAGTAATCTGTAGTTGAGATGCTACTGTCACTACCGGACACATTTTGGTGACAAGCCCCTGCCCAAGAGCACAAATAAGCATAATAAATCCTGAGCCATGACCATCATCCATCCAGTACTTTTTTTCCCCCTCAAGCTCTTAAGTTCATGCCAGGACCCTGCAATTTAGAATCATAGGTCTTAGACCTCTAACTCAGAGTTTTCCCCACTATTCTCTACTGAGGGGGATACTTGGTCCAAATTTGATCTCTTCCCAAACAGTGGTGCCCGTCTGACCACTTGAATATCAAGGTAAGTTCCGACATAGGTGGCCCTATCCCCATAGACTTCAACCTGCTCCAGCTGTGCTGGAGCCCAAGTGTCTTGTTGGGTGAATGTAATTGTCAACAATTCATTTTCCCTTGGGCTTTAAAAAGGGGAGGGAGTGTTCAAAACTTTTTTTTAAAGATTTACTTATGCATAGAAGATCTGGGGGTACAGGCCAGAGTGGGGGGGTGGTGAGAGGATTCACCAGAGACAGAGTGGGGAAGTGAACAGGCAGACTGAATGAAATACACTGCTGAGGGGAGCAGCAGGTGAATCGGGAGAGGTCTGCTGCGCCATGTGGGTAGCTCCCCTGGCCGGGGATCAAACTCGTGCTGCAGTGGCTGCCGATAGCTTCACAGGTTGCATCTTAACCCCTTGCGCCACCAGGGAGGCCCCCAAAACATTTGTTTAAACAGCAATTTGTTCTTTTTTTTTTTTTTTTTTTTAAGATTTATTTTATTTATTTATTTAATTTATTTATGCAAGCACTGGATACAGTCAGAAGTGTGGGAGGGTGAGAGAATTCACCAGAGCCAGAGCGGGGAGCAGAGCAGGCAGAAGGACCAAAGTACACTGCTGAGGGGAGCAGCGGGCGGCAGGAGAGGTCTGCGCGCCATGTGGGACCCTCCTCCCCGGTGGCCGGGGAGCAGCTGGGGATCGAACCGGCGCTGCAGAGGCCGCGGGCAGCTTCGCAACCCAGCGCTCAACCGCTGCGCCACCGGGGAGGCCCAGCAATTTGTTCTTGATCCCTAGTTTGCTGTCACCATTCTTAACATTTGATCTAGGCTGAATGAGAAGAGGTTCCACTTAGCTGAGAAGTTGATTAAGCATTTTGGCCTATTGGTTAGCAGTACCCCAAAGATGAGTAAGTTATACGGTCTGAAAGCATTTTTCACACAGATCTATCAGGGCATTTTACCTATTCCTCAGGTGACAATGGAAGGCAGACAATGAGTGGATAAGCTAGGTAGGGAAAACCTTTTACTAAGTGGCCCAGTGTTTGCTCATAACTTTCTAAATAGAGATGAGGGGACAGTGGCACAAGCTAATTATCAAAAATGCCCACCAGCCTCACACTTCATCTTGCGATGGAGTCACTCTAGAAAGAATTCAGCTGCTCTAGAGGGTGGGCAGCTTCTCAGTGTCCCTGACAAGGGTCCCCAAATAGGTTCTTTGAGATCAAGTTAGACCCTCTTACCTTTCAGCCCTCTTTCTGTCCTGAACTGTCATGTATCTACAAAAAATTTCAGTCTAAACTCAATTTCTACATCCATGTCTCCACTTGTGTGTGCTGCTAAAAGCCTCTCGGCCCACTCCTCTGCCCTTACAGGCCACTTACTGCACAGTCACTGCCGTGGGAAAGTCTAAATGACCCTTGTTCAGGGGCTTCTTGTGCCGCAGAATAAAATGTGTGGCCTTTTGATATTTGATCACTGCATACCTCACCCTGATGCACCAACTCCACCTGCCACTAAGTGCTCGCAGAACACCCATGAGTCAAGGACTGCTGAAGTCATCCTCTACTCCTTTTCATCTGTAAAAGTCCCAATTTTAAGTCTCAGCTTCAATGACACCTCCAGGAAGCTTAGTTTCCCCAATACTTGCCAACTAGTTACTTGGTAGGTTGGTTGACCAATTTTTGTCACCATTGTTGCCTACAACCCTAGGAAGGAGGTGGTCACACAGTTTACTGAAAAGTGAAAAGTGATTTTCCCAAAGTCTGCCAGCAAATGGCAGAGCCAGCTGGGTCTTTTGCTCAAGTCCAAGAATCTATTGGAATGGGATTTTTACTTTTCCTCTGGAAGTTTAAGTTCCAGTTCAGTTAAATCTAATTTTCCCCTTTTCTCTCAAGACCAGCTGCCTGTCCCCTCCAGATGACTTTCTGGGGGGTTGTCCAGTTTTGCTCACAGCCCTGCTTGCTTCTACCCCTTACCCACTTGTGTTCTTGGCTTCATTTGAATAAAAGCAGCTGTTGGAAGAGCAAAAGACATTCTCTGCAAGACCATAATCCAAGCAAAAGCACACATACAGATGCTGGCAATGGCCCAGGGCAGCCTGGACTGAGGTGAGGTGACTGGGAAATCTTAGGCTCCAACTCGCACCCCATGCCACGTGGCTTAGTTCATGGCGTAATTTAACAGAAGGTAGAGCTCAGGTTTTGCACAGTAACTAATTTCACTAGTGATGATAGGTGCAAGCTAACATTGTGGGTTCAATTTTCTCCTGAAATGATGGTGCTTCTGACATTGAAAATGGTTACAAATTACTTTTTTTTTTTTTTTTTTGGACAGAGACCTAGCTTTTGTATAAACCTGACTTGCTTAATTGCTCTGCAAGTTTCTTCATTGTTTTTAGTGAGAAGCATTACACTGTCCTTGACCATGAAAAACTCCAAAGACAGGGCCTCCCCGGTGGCGCAGCGGTTGAGCGCTGGGTTGCGAAGCTGCCCGCGGCCTCTGAGGTGCTGGTTCGATCCCCGGCTGCTCCCCGGCCACTGGAGGAGGGTCCCACATGGTGCGCAGACCTCTCCTGCCGCCCGCTGCTCCCCTCAGCAGTGTACTTCGGTCCCTCTGCCTGCTCTGCTCCCTGCTCTGGCTCTGGTGAATTCTCTCACCCTCCCACGCTTCTGACTGTTCCCAGTGCATGTATAAACAAACAAACAAACAAATAAAAAAAAAAAACATGCCTCTATAAATAAAAAAAAAAAAAAAAAAAAAAAGAAAAACTCCAAAGACAACAAAAATTATTAGGAAAAAAAACCCTCCGGACAACAGTAGCAAGTACCTTGATTTTTTTCCCCTGATCTTATCTGGA